GTTGTTGTCCCTCGCTCTCTTTCTCTCTGGCTCTGTTCCTGTGCTACTGCGAGTGTAACTAACGCCCCTCCCCCCTCTGCCCAGCGCAAAGTACAGGCCGCGCGTGTGGAGTTTAGTGGAAAAAAGGGCGAGAGAGAGGGTGAGAGAAAGAAAAAAAAACAACCTCACGGCTCCCAATAAGGAGCCGGTCCGCGTCGTTCACTTCAAAGAATCGGCTCTAAGAGCCATTTCGTTCGCGAACGACCCATCACTACTACCAGATGCAGGAGAGAGGAGAGGTGAGCTGTGTCACCAGATCCATGTTATGTTGAGTTTTGGTAATTGAATTGATTTGGGGAAGTTTTGTTGAGTTATACATTAAATTAAGTTCACTGTAAATAAATTGCTCACCTCTGGAAATCTGAAATGTCTGCGTAGTCTGCTTCCCTACCACCTTCCTTGACGTTTGAGTCTGACTACTTCACAGGTGCACACGTGGAACAGAGGTCATACAGAGGTTAGAGGGTGCCCTAACGCAGACAGGAGATCTGCCCCTGCAAGCACCATACATAATCTAAAAATAAATTAGAACCAGGCTGAGATAAAACCAGAGGGTTTAAAGGCACCTGAGGAGAGTATATTATATGAAGGTATTTAAAATCCCATCCAAACAGTTAACAGCATAACAGGTTGTCCATTTTCTCCTCACTTCTAATATAAAATAATCCAGTCTGTGAGTTCAAAACCTGCTGTGTTGTAAACTGTTTGGATGTTTCTGGGAAAAGAGATTATTTTATTGTATAAAATAGCACTGCTGCTCAGTAAACTCAATCCGTTTTTGACTCCAGCCTGTCGACGCAGTGAACTCATTCTCATTTAAAAAGTGCCTTACAAAAAACGAACATCAACAGCTGATGCAGCTTATTCGCAGCATCAGGTGGCCCTGAATCCTCCCTGAGTTATGCTGCAATAAATCTTGGCTGCTGAGGGTTTCCCCTGATGCACTGAGAGCTTCTTCTTCACTCACTATGTATTTATACACCACTTTGCATTTAATTACTATTATTAATCTCTTTTTCACAGTGTGTCTTTTGTCACGCTGTCGAACCTCTGGCAGAAAAGGTTTCTTTCTGTTAAAATTCAGTTTTTCCTTCACTCTGTCAACATGTGCTCATTGTTTGGTTAATTGGGGTTTTCTCCCTATTATGGTAGGGTCCTTACAATATAAAGCACGTGGCAACCATTGTTGTGATTTGAAGCTATATAAATAAAACTGAATTGAACAGAAGTGATCTGAGCAGTAGAGGTTTGGGAAATTTAATGATAGATACAATCTCTTGTCTCTGAAACTTTAAATAAGGATTAATCATTACTAAAGTCAGAGGGACTGACATTTCAATATGTAATATTTCAAATAGATCTCTAATTTAAGATTAATTACACACAATCATTATTAGTAATTCTTGAGTCAAAACTGGCCTATATAATACTGAGAACACGTGAAATATTAACAGTATCTAAGAGCTAGAATTATGGCTCAGTACCTTTATGTGACCTTGTGATTCTTTCACAAAACTCTCTTCAGCAACCTAAACCTGAAGTAATGCCTTTATAAAGCAATATCTATTAGGGGTGGGGGAAAAAAT